AGCCTCCATCCATTGAACAAATTCTCTTTTTGCCTCTTTTGCAACATTAACCCGTGCTGGTTCCAGCACTGCAAAAACACAAACTTATCGAGTATTTTTGTCTAGTTTCTAATGCAAATGTCTTGGTATATTTGAGACAAGACAAAAGTAACTTTTCAGCAAGATATAGTCGTTTGTTTTAAGCTAGTAATTAACTGGTATGGTAGGAAAAAGAGCTAGTTCCACTAGCAGATTATTATTCTTATATTATGGGAAAAATATCTTGTTATAAATTAAATGATCTGCCAGTTGAACTTTCACTTTTTTGTCAATAATAAGGAATTATTGACTTTAAAAAAACTCTGATATCTTGGTTAAAAGATACATGCAAGTCAGTTTTCTCTTATTTTAAGTGAATTAAGATATTTGAACCAGAAGTAAATCACAAATACTCGGTCAAGATTTTGTGTTTTTGCTGTACATAGATTTTTTTTTATTTTTTACATGTTCTCATTGCTCCAAAATAATGCATTGTATGTATTTTTGGTTGGATGCGTAGTGTAAATCACAGGCTGTTTCCTGTGAGAGCTGCGGAGTCAGCCTGTATGTTCACCACGCAGCTGGCATCACAGACAGGGGCCCGTCAGATGAGGTCAGAGGCCCTCGAGCGGCACGGAGCCCACAGGAACCACAAAAATCCTCACTGCACCGTGGGACTGCCACGGCTTCGCTCACTTTTGGGTCCCTTTTGAATGAAAAAACGACGATGCTGTATCATGCTTTTCATTGCATTTACAGTATTTGATCTTAGCTTTAGTTGGAGCCATCAGTTCTCCTTTGCTTTCACTTTGTTCTTCTGATTCGAGCCACAGGGGCCAGCCGGTTCTCATCCATATCTGGAAAACGGCCTCAGCAGTCATGAAAACCGCCCAAGGTAAACGATCCATCAGAGGAAACATGACAGCTAATGGGTTCTGTGAGCGATTCGGGTTTGTTGTCAGGTTCCTGTTGCAAAGCCGGGTGTTTTCTTGTCAGCGTTGCATCACATCTCGCTCCGTTTTCTGTCAATCAGAACTCCAGGAAATAATCATTCATGTCCAAACTGCTTATGTTGCCTCATTATACACACTGATGTACGCTGCTCTACTTTGATCAGATTTCTCAAATTGTAATCACAAATTTCAGTGTATTTTAGTCATATTTTGTGTGTTATACCAAAACAACATGGTTCCAAAAAGGGGCTTGTTCTGTAAAATTCACTTTTTGCATGTTTTTATACTCCATTTTGTTCTCTACTGCTTCTACAAACAGCCAACTTTGTTTTTTAGTTATAAGATTATGTTTTTTTGGTGTCAGGAAAAAGAGCTGTTTCAAAAACTTCTGCATTATTAAGTCACAATCCATGCATATGCATGGAGTTCCAGCAACCCAAGCGGAGTTCCAGGAAGTTTGATTGGAGGGGGTCGGTGCTGTGGTGATGTCACCAGGTGACTTCCTAAGGTGATGTCATCAATTGAACATGACGGTGTTAAACCCATAAAATGTCACAGCAAGTAACGAATAATCACAGATTGATTTCAAACTCGGCCAATAAACCTGGTCTCCCTCTCACAGGTTCACCTTATCTATATTTAAACATGTCAGTGATGCTTGTTTTTTATTTCGATTTCAAGACACCTTCATCCTAAGGGACAGTTTATCCTTGACCCAGGGAGCTTTTCCTTTTTTCACAGGAGCTTCACACAATAGAATCTCTTTTTGCACATTTTCTGAGCCAGACCTCCCTCCTCTGTCTTCTCTCTCCGTTTCTCAGCTCCCAGCCTGGATTGATTTAACTGTATAATATCTCTTTGAGGCAGCAGATGTTGGCTGTGTTGAAACTTGGAGCCAGACGAGTTCTGGAGAACGTTCTCATGTTTGATTATTGTAAAAAAAAAATTTAAAGAATCACAGGTTTTCTGATGCGTTTAAACAAATGATCTAAGAGGGCTTGTTGGTTTGAAGGACTCCTTCAGAATGCAGAAACTCATGAAAAGCAAATATTAGCAACATAATCTCCATGTATTTTGCTTCTAAAGAGTCAGCAAATCTCTTAAAGTTGTCTTCATCAAGTTATTTGGGGGTTTTGAATATTTCTTTTGTTGCTTTTTGTACTCAACCATGACTGCTTGATATGCAGTGTGTGCATTGAAACAATGTCAAAACCCAATGAAAGCACAAAAACTTAACTGCATTACTCTGTACTGCAGGGTGTCTCCAGATGGAAACAGAAGGGGGCCCAGACATCATCCTCTGTCTGTATATTTTCTGACCTACATGTGATCCTGAAGGTTTATCCTCTTCATGTTATTCAGTGTTTCGCTCTTTCACTGCAGCCCATGTCTGACACTTGTTTTCAGTTTTAAAATCGATTCACATAAGAATCAGGATTTTTGTTTCTATGGTTCTGAATTGATTTAAAATGTCCCCGAAACTGATTTTAAAAAATAAAACAAAGCTGTCGGGCTCTGTTTTGTAACTACGGGACGTTCTGACGTCACCACGCACCCTTCACTGGAACGGGCGCGAAAAGCAGCAAAACAAAGAGAAAGCTAAAAAAAAGCCAAAAGGAAAAATATTTAGTGTTTTTGAACAACTCTCATTAGCAGAGTTTGAATAAAGATACAGAGCATCAAAATCCAAGCAGTGCAACATTAATGGATGTGAGTTTCTGTCAAAATCTAATAAAGAAGAAGAAGTTCAATTGGCCCGACTTCTTCGAAGGCAAATGTCTGGACACTTTCCCTACAGCTGCACCGTCTTTGGAGTATGATTCTAGATTTGTACGTTCAATGCCCTCTTGCAAGGCGCTTTCTTAATATTTACAAGAAAAAGTGAAAAATATTCTCTTATTGTTTCAGAATGAGTTGTTTTAGGGCCTCTTCTTACTTTAAACCTAAATAAGGTGCTGCAGGCCACTTACCCCAACTCAATGTTTACAGCAAAAATGAAAATGACTGCAAACAGGTACAACTGTACATCTTTGAAAAGCAAAAGTGGAGCCTCCTGCACAGGCAACAAGAATGCAGCAAGTGACTTTTGGATGGTAAGTCAACAACAAAACACTTGTCTTTTCCAGCAACCATTGTACAGTGCATGCAGCAGTAAAAATCAAAAAGTGCTGGAGCTCAGCTTGGGTTGCTAGATAACGGTCCAGTGCCCTTCGAATGTGACTTAACAATCTGGAGGTTTTTGAAATGGCTCCTTTTCCAGACACCAGAAAACATTAACTTACAATGTCTGGGCGTGTTTTCTTTAAGCTCTTGGTCTGTTTTTAGAAGCAGCTGAGACCCAAATGGAAGTACGAAAACACGCAAAAAGCGGGTTTTGCATAATCGCCCTTAACATCTCATAACTCAGTGGAACTTTTATGCTTGACGTGCGCCACTCCCTCCTCATTCCGCCTTTTACGGCACCCTATAGACATGATGCGAGGGTCTGCAGCGAGACGCGAAGAAAACAGAAAACAGCAAACAGCAAAGTCATCCAGTTCTTCTTAATAAGAAACAGAGAGACAGCAGCTTTGAAATGTCCCCGCACACATTCGTCTGCACTGGCATGTTTGGCGACACTAATGAAGACGGCTTAATGCGAAAAACATGTTGGAGAGAAATCCATCAATCAGAGGCAAACTCATAATCAGCGCAACTGAGTTTCTGTGACACTGTTTGACCCGAATGCAGCAGGTTTTACCGTCCCTTTGAGCGACTTTGACTATCAAAGCCGCCTCATTTCCACCTCATGTAGATCTCATTCCTGCTGCAGCACAAAGAGGGTGCAGCGATGCCTTGATTAGCCACAGAGGACAACAGAGGGGTCAGCACAGCAGAACAAGCCTCCAGCCTCTCCTCAATGCAGAGCTTCTTATTAATACCCCTCATGGGCTTCCTTCTAAATCCCGCGTTTGTCCGGATCTTGCTCAACGGCTTTTCCGGTGAATGAGAAAAGAAGGACTTTGTAAGCTTGGACTCAGTCTCCCAGAGCGAGGATCCAGGATTAGAGTAAAAGAGCAAACACTGTGGAGCGTAGCAAGGACCAAGGAAGGTGGCAGTGAGGGGTTTAAGACTCCAAACAATGGAAATTAATTAGAAGTCCCTCAGAGGAGCTTTGCTCTTCTGATTAAGGAGGAGGAGGATTTGAGGTTTAGCACATGAAATACTGTTTTTGAATTGGTGGGGCCTCCGTCTCCCGGACTTCAGCGTCTGAGTGAAAACATGCACTTAGACCTCACACTGCAAACAATATCCCAGCACTGTATGGCACAAAATGTGTTTGGATCAGAAACAGAAGATAAAATCCACTTCTGTCCACACTTGTGCCTTAAATCACGGGTGCCCAAATCGCGGTTCGTGGGCCACATGTGGCCCTTGAAGTGGTTTTTTAAATTTTATATTATATATGTCCACAAACATCCAGCAACTTTTTCTCAAATCACTCGTGGGTTTAATGCATACATGTCAAATAATGACATGTATGCACTATTTTTTACCAACCATAGGCAAATAATATTTTAATTCAATAAAAATGTTCTCAGAATTTTATTTATTTATTGCTTGCTTTAAATTTTTGGGAGGGGTTTCTTACATGTTTTGTTTCTCTTTGCTTTTTATCAGCATTTTTATAGCAATTTTTTTCCAGAGTACCACAATATATTAAGCTAAGCAACTAATTCATCAAAATGCATGTGTCAATTAAAAGTTTATTGTGCATTTCAGTCTGAATTTAATTGATCAAATTCTGGCACATCTGGACTTCCATAGAATTGTCACAAGTCGATAGCGCTGCACTTTAAACATTAAATATTGAGCTTTTTTTCTTTTCCATACCGCCACAGAAACATGTATACCATTTCCCCCTCGCAGTCTGGACCTTAAATGGGCCACTAAAGAACAACGCCCACGCCCTTTGAGTCTCTCCTCGGGCGGGGCGATGACTCCGGTGTCTGGACTCACTTTTTAAACACTCCTCCGGGGCGCAGGACGCATGCAGGACGCGATCATCCACCGCGCTGCCTCATTTAAAACGCTGCAGCGCACAGAAGCGTTTGGACTCACCTCTGGCTTCTATGTGCGCGGGTTTTCCTGCGAACCTTGGATGGTTTTGTTATTTCTTGCCTGACCGGAGGTTTGTTCTCTGCCATGATGCTCGGATTTCGCAGGAGAATTTGCTCCAAACTCTGGATTAATCCGGGATTTCTGCGGGAATAACTAAAAGGAAACAGAGCAAACCTGCCTATTGAGAAGCTGCTACAGGCTGGAGAAATGGAGCTTACTCCTGCAGTGCTGCTTGTTGCTTTTTTAGGTAAGAAACTTTATTTTTTATTTCACTTTTATTTTTGATTTATCTTGATTTGCTGCAACAAAGAAGAGACTTGAATTCCACTTTATCCACCTGTAATTCCCATGTGCAGAAACATAGAAATCATTGAAGCTTGTATGTTGATATAATTTATTGCCCTCAGAGATGTTATTATTAAAATGGTTAATTTATACTAAAATACAACACAAGACTCGTAAAAACATATTTTCAAAGCAAAAATGTTACTATGACTAGCAGTCATAATAAAGATTGCAGAGGTGGTTCAAAAAGTTTAGAGCTGTAGCCAAGTGTGTTAATGGGAAATTTAGTGGAAGGAAAAAATGTGTTGGCAAAATGTGCACAAACAGAATATATCTTCCAGAAACAGTGACAAAATATTTAGCCATTACTGTTCAAACTTCTTTGAGACTTAAGTTTGATGAAGATATGGATGGTGGTGAAATGCTTGTTTAATTTCTGTTTACATAATAAACAAAGCTTCATCTCCACCCTGTTTGTTTGGCTGTCAAGCACCTGTTTCAGCTAATGTTGATCAGATAATGTTGTAAAGAGGAAGATGAGACTCTAAATCCAACAATTCAAAGCCCGATAAGATTTTCTGAAATACGTGTTTAAAAAAGATTTTATCTAATTTTGTTTCTTGTGCAACTCAAAACTTCCTACTCCAATAATCTTGGTATCAAAATTGCAGCAACTGCTATAGTTTAAAAGAAAATAAGGATACAACATAAAATGATTTAGAAATATAAGATTACAGACATTTGTAAAACATAGATCCTGATAAAACTCAGGTAAAATAAAGCAATTTACAGAAGTTTTAGTAAAAGAAAAAGAAATCTAAGCGTTTTGCCAAACTGGGGATTTCCGGTGTTTTTACTTACTAAACTTATATTTACATGTCTAAAATAGTTTGTTTTTTGTTTTTTATTAAAAAAAAAAAAACATCTACTCACAATTGAACAATAAGAAAATATTTAACTCCAAACTCAGTGTAAGTAAAAAAAAAGAAAGAAAAAAGTAAAACAAAAGAAAAAAAAGTAAAACAAATCGACTCACTTTTGTGGGGGGAAAAAAAAAGAAACCCCCTGAAATCCATCCTATTTTTTGGCACTTCTGGAACTCCCTACACCACCTTTTTGATGAAGGCTCTTGGTTTCTGGCGTCTGTACCGCAGCCCCAAATGCTTCCTGCTCAACTCAAAGGCTTTTAATCAGCTTCGAGCCGAGAGTCTGACGTCCCGCGGTCTCCATGGTTACCGCCAGCCTCCTGACTCAGCATTTAGTTTAGTACGATGCAACTTTTTCTTTTTTTCATCAGGCTGACATATTCAAACATATTCAAAACATTTTTATTAGTAACGTGTAAGATTAAAATCTTCTTAAAAGACTTAATTAATCACAATAAAATGGTTGAAATACATCAGTGTGCGATTTGACCTTTGACCTGAACTACAGCAGTAAACTGGTGGTTGTTGCACCTGTTTATTGGCAGGTTTGAATGATAACGCCTCCTCAGTGAATCATGTTGGAAGGTCAGAGGGCATCGCCGGGCCTCCCTCAGGCTGTTCTGCAGATGAAAGCTCTGCGGGTTTAAGAGCCACTTTAAACATCCCTTCCTGATAAAAACCCGTGTCTGAGCGGCGCTGGATTATGGGCCCGCCGTTGACCCGCTCCATCTGCTGCAGTTGACAGTACAAAGCAGCGTTTTGGCAGCGGACTTAAAGAACTGCTGGAGATAAAAAGGACGCCTTGGCGTTCCACTTATTCTTAAGTGCGTTTAAGTGTCTTAAAGTCTCAATTAAGCGGTGTGTTATTGCAGGTTTTCACAGCTGCAACAAAAATGCTCTGTCAGTGTGGATTACAGTGTGCTGGAAATTTATTGGAGGAGAAAAACCTCAGAGCTCGCATGCAGAGTGTTTTTAAAAGCAGAAATGGAAGATTAACAGACTGTGAAATCATTTTTTCATGAACCTTTAAATAGGGCTGGATTGTATGACTTAAGAATAATGGATCCGATTCCCAATTTTAATCCATTTTTCTGCTGTTTTTTCCAAAATCGAAATGACAGAAAATGTTTTTAAAAAGTGGCTTTTCTTTCAGTCGTCCCTTCTGTGAGTTGTACAGTGTAGTAATAAGGCCAGGGAATGGTAATTTTTGTTTAATTACAAGAAGATAGTCATAATAATAGCCGAATAAAGGTGCAATTTCACCAAGAGAATGTATCAAAGTTACACGAAAAACGTTTAATGGAGAAAGGTGCGGATAATAGATTTTTGCTAGTTTTTGTCGAGTTTTTATAAAATTTTATCCATTCCTCTAATATTTGGACTTTATTTTCATATAACTTTATTTTTTCACATTTGGACTTTATTTTTGTTAAAAAAATAAAAATTAAAATTAAACATTTGCCTGATGCTTATATTTTGTCCTATTCTTGATCTAAATTCAAATTCCAAATAAATAAAAAGCTGTACAACATGTTTCTGAAAACAAGATGGCCGCCCTGGGCGCGATGACATCACTCTGAACAGTGGAGACACATTAGTGACCCAAAATTTCACAATTTTCCTAAAAGCAAAAAATATCTAACCAAGAAATCTAAAACTCTTTCTAAAACAAAGTCTGCGTTGCTTTAACCACATCTATCCTTTATTAGTGTGTTGTATGATGAAAACACCAAACTTTTAACCTTTTATTGCTTTTTTTTTAAAGTACTTTTATTTGGTTAAGAAAAAAAATCAGCATATTTGACAGGAACATTGAGAGACTGAAATGCTGAGTCAGCTTTTTGAGCCCAAATGAATCTTTTTAGATAATGTTATTTTGATCCACACTAACTAAGTTTGAGTCTAAATGGGGCTTAACTTGTCAGATTTTATAAAAGCAGTGAAGTTTTCAGCTTAAGTGGTTTTCTGAGACCAAACACCAGAGAAGAGTCTGTTTCTGTGCAAACACGTGTTACAGATGGGAGGGTTTCATCCCAGCATGAGCCTCGTATTGACATCAATGTGGTAAAATACAATTTCTAGCTTTTATGTCTTGCTTCTATTGTTAAAGTTTTTATGCTCATTTTAATTAAAAACAGAAACTTTAATATTCCTGCTGCTTTTGCGTAAACAGTGAACTCACTCATGTTTATTATTTGCATCAAAATAATAAAAGCCACGCAAACATCTCTATGTTTTGTTCTGTAATAACTACAAATACGTATTCAAATTTTAATTGACATTTGCATCTAAATTCACAAATTATATTGTGGCACTTTTTGGGTAATTATTGCTATAAAAATGTTGATTAAAAAACACCAGGAAGCAAAAAATGACAAAATATAAACAAAAAAACCCCATTCAAAATAAGTAAAATAGGGTAAAAAATTGACTTTGTAAAAATTCAGAGTAATTTAAAGATGTAACACATCATTCGATGGTGTTCAAAGTGTGGCCCGGGGGCCATTTGTAGCCCCTGAAATGATTTTGTTTGGCCATAACTACAATTCAAGAATGGTGAATAAATTGGCTAACGGTATGAAAAACACTTGGTGACCTTATCTGTCTGTCGAGCTAACTGGCTAGCCGACCCATCTGTCCTATCTAATCTAATCTAAATAATGTTTCCAGAGGTCATCAAAGGTCAATCCGAACCCCCACATTTACGAATGTGTCTATTTTGTGTCTATCAAATTTTTGCTGCACAAACATAGCTAAATTAATTTCTATCAATTTTGTTATTGTGGGCGGGAATGACATGTTGACCTCTGGTGACCCCTGGAACCTTTTTTTATTTTTTTATTTAGATGTTAAAAATGATCACAACACAAAACTGTTTTGCTGCACAAATGTAGCACAGTTGATTTTCTCTGTATTTTGTTTTGATTTTGTAAACTTGGACTTGCTGGAAACATTTATTAATATTTTTAAAATGATATTCATCAGATTTTAGTGCGCCCTAAAACATCTCATCTTTCAGAATGAGATGTTTTAGGGCGTCCTGTCGCTTTAAATCCGAGTAAGCTGCTGCTGGCCACGCCCACAAATCAATGCTCACGCTCACACGTTAAAATGGCTGCAGACAGATGCACAATTATACAACCGTACATCTTTGAAAAGCAAAAGTGGAGCCTCCTGCACAACCAACAAGAATTCAGCAAGTATTTTCTGAATGGGAAGTCAACAACAGTTGACCAAGTGTGCTGGAGCTCAGCTTGGGTTGCTAGGTAACAGGCTTGGGTTGCTAGGTAACAGGCTTGGGTTGCTAGGTAACAGGCTGGAGTTGCTAGGTAACATTGTGACTCAGTAATCGGGAACGGCTCGTTTTCCAGACACCAAAAAACATGAACTGTGTGGATTTATTTTAAGAGCTGGAGCTGTTTTTAGCAGCAGTTGAGACTCAAATGGAAATTTTTTTTAAAAAAGTGAATTTTACACATTAGGTCCTCTTTAAAAAAAGACATTTGAACTCCAGTAGAGTCTAAATATCAGCAATAAATTAAATGTTTTAAACTTGGTTTTACTTTCTATCTGCTCTCAGATAAAACAAACAAAAGTCCTTTGTGTGGCTCCCACTCCGGCTCTTCGGACTTTTTTATTTTTTTGACTCGGCTGCTGTCAGAGCTCCCAGTGCTCTTACCTCACCAGTGGGATCAGGCCAACTGGAAATGTTCGCTGTGGTTTAGGGCTCTGGGAGTTTTGTGGTCACTTTGATTCGAGGTAGAGTGCTGCAGCTTGGGAAAGCAGCGGCAGCAGAAAACGTCTCAGTTCTTATGAGTATTGCCTTAATGAAGGGAGAAGTTAAAAAAGATGGCGCTCCGCTCGCCGGTGCGTCCGTCACCTGAGAAAGACACATGAGACTTCAAACGGGGAACATATCGGCTCCTTGTAATCATTTCCTCATTTATTTCCCAGTCGGTCTGGTTCCCATTTAGCAGTTGGTTCACATTTGGCTTTAATGTAAAAAGATTTGTTACTCTAATCTAAAACTAGTTTACATCTCATTATGATGCTGAAATTTTTAGTAGGTTTGGACGGTGCAGCTAACTTTAGATCGCAGCTTAAGGAGATAAATTAGACAAAATGTTTCACTTATTGCCAGAAAATAAGATCAGACACTTCAAACGAGAGGGAAACACACCTGCAGTTTTTGAAAGAAATTTATTTGGAAAAAAAAACTTTTGCCTATTTTCTTATTTTGTAATTATGTTATATATATTAATTATTAAAATTTTTGCCTTTAACATATCAAACCTTTAACATAATTTTATATTTTGGTCCATCTGATGATGTAAGTTTTAAATATTTAAATGACGTTTTGATCAGTGCTTGAGTTTTCTTTTTGACCAAATACTTTTTTATTCTTACTTGAGCAACTTCTTACATAGCTACTTTTTACTTTTTACTTGAGTAAAAATGTGTTGACGTATCACAGCGCCATTCACACCAGCTCTGTTTACTTCACTTTAATCAAACTCTCGTTCGTTTGTCTAGAAAGTCCGGTTCATTTGGGGAAGTGTGAATGTATAATCGAACTCTCATGCAGATCAAAAATGCAAGCTTTAGTAACACTACAAGTGAACTCTGGTGCGGTTTGAATGCATATGTGAAAGCCAAGTGGGCTGCAGACTGCTCCAAAAGCAGGAAATGGACTAGCCCAGGGCATTATGGGTAAAAACAACCAAAAATAAACACACAAATCTTGTGCTACAGGAAGAAATGGCTCTTCCACTAAAAACTGACACGACTTCAGGTTTGTTTACATTTTGTGAAAAAGGAAAGGAAGAAGGTTGTGCTCATGTCTTCTTCTGAGGTTTTTTATGTAATTTTCTTCAGTGGTCCTTGGTGCAGCGCCCCCACAGGCGAGGAGGGGAACAGGTTTTTCCAAAGGTTTGGTTTGTTTGACTCAGTGTGAAAGAGAGCCACAGAGCAAAAAATGTCACAAAGGTTACAACTTTGGTCCCAAATGGAACCAAATTTACCAGCCTATCAGCTGTGAAAACACTTATTTTAGATTAACATCGTCATTATTTGTGTTTTCTGAAATAATTTGAAGGCGCGAACAACAAACAGTGCAGCTTCTTAAAACCATATTGTGGTTTGTTTTTAAAATTTTTCGGGCCAATTTGGTGTCAAACAGCTGGAGGCAGCTTTGGCTTTCTCTGGGCTTTTGGTTTCTTTTAATGAAATGGGGGTTTTTCCCGTTCTTGTCTCATCAGTCTCAAATTAAAAACACAGAGCAGCCTGCAGTGGCATTCTAGCGCGTTGGATGATCCTTCCAGGCCAGTCGGGTCTGACAGAAAGAGTTTAGAGCCAAGTCTTCATATTTCAAGGTAGATTTTTATGATATGGGGCATTACATGGAATAAAACCTCAGAGGAATGTGAGCCTCAGGGCCGGTCTCTGTCTGTGGGCTTTGAAAATGCTTTCATTTCCGACATTTTATCCCGACAGGCTCATTCCAGCGCTGAGGTTATTGTTTTCCGTTTGGTTGGACGGAAAGCGGGCCGGCAGAACTCGGGCATAAAGCATCACACCTTTAAACTGTTTATTCATCTCGATCAGACACATTTTTTATTTAGAAGAAGCACCACTGATGCTTGGTGTAAGATGATTAAATTAAGAATTCAAAAGAAGTTCAAAGCTGCTCAGTCAATTAAAACCACGAGTAAAGCTTTAAACCATGGTTCTTTCGTTTTTTGATCTTGCTCTAATTTACCTTTTATGAGTCCGGCACAGTTAATTCAGAAGAGTATAAAAACCCAGAGTCGCTTTGAGCGATAAGTCAATTTTATTCATGAATTGAGTTTTCTGTTTTTGAAGATTTAGTTTTGGAAAATCAGGGGTTTTTACACCAATTTACTCCTTGTGCTTCTATAGTTCACAGAGATGTCAGCAAGCCAAGGGCGGCCATCTTGTTTGACAATCTTGTTCTATTATTTATTTGGATGTTGAGTATTAGAGCCACAATTTTTTATTTTATTTATCACCATAATAAAGTAGTAAGTCTATAAGAAATCCTACACAAAAAAATGACAAAAAATTAAAATAACATGGATCATCTTATGAAGTTATACTTTGGTTTAAGTTTTACAACTAATACTTCATAGGAATAGTTAATCTTTTAGCACAACAGCGAGACTTATTATCAGTAGCAGGACTATAAAACAATTATGCAAAGAACTGTTTATTTTCATTAAAACAGATTTTAATAATTTTTTTTCTGCTAAAATAACTATATTCTCAAAATTAAACTACAATTCTTGGAGCGTTTTCCTAAAACAACTCACAGAAGGGATGACTGAAATAAGTTGAAAATATTTTCTGTCATTTGTAATATGTGTATATATAAAATTGAGTGTAAAAACGAATTTGATTAAAATCGGAAATTTTATTTTTGAACCATTTCATTCAGCTCTACCCCAGGGTCATCCTCTAAATGTAATTGTGTTGTTTTTCCCTCAGTTTGGGCTGAAGGCTCCTCTCTGCCTCACTCCAGTCATCGCTCTCTGAAGAAAACCTTCGGCCCTTCGTCCAGAGACTCGCTGTGCAACCACATGCTGAAGCATCTCCACAACGGAGCCCGAATCACCGTGCAGATGCCTCCCAACGTGGAGGGCCACTGGGTGTCCACCAGGTTAGCTGCTTTTCCTGCTAGCTATTTCACACAAAGGTCTAAATTAGGCCTGCAAGAAAGGGTTATTTTATCAATTGATTAATCTACCAATTATTCTGACAATTAATTGATTCATTAGATTTTTTTTAAAATGGCACATTCTACAAATTTTTATTTAACCACTTGAGCCTTTGTATAAGAAATTTCTTTTTAAATAAGATTTTACTGCCTATATAGGAAATGCTAAAATACAACTAGCTTCTAAGCTAGCTCTTAGCTAGCAGCAAATGGTAGTTTTTCGACAGGTTAGCTAACTTGCAAACACAAGCTAGTTTTAGCTTTAACCAGATGAAGCTAAAACTATGCAACTTGAGGAGTTTTGGGTAAAATGTATTTACAGACAAAGAAGGTCTTTTTATCTTTAATGCATAAATTTATTTTGCAGTTTTGGTTTAATTATGGTTCTGAATATGTTATTCTTTTAGCAAATGTCCTTTTTTTTAGTCTCTTATTTAACAATTAATCAATTTCTAACTTGGTTGACGATTATTTCAATAATTGATTAATCATGGCCCATCATTAATCCTTCTGGCCTGAAAACATTTATTCACTTAATGGTGCATTTAGTTACTTATTTGAATAAATGTATTTAGCTAATTTTGGCCTTTTTGGCCCTCCATACTTGCCTTCATAGCACTGAGCAAAACATTAAAATATCACAATCTTTTACTTTTCTTCATCTGCTAATGATTAATCGATTTACTAAGTTGATGATCATTTCAATAATCAATTAATCACAATTAAACCGATTAATTGTTTCATCCCTCGTTTTAATTCATGCCCTGGTTAAAAATGTGGAGTGTAATGTAATTTTTCATGAGTTTCATGTGACTCCCTGTGTGTTTGTTGCAGCTGTGAGGTGAGACCTGGCCCAGAGTTTCTGACCCGCTCCTACAAGTTTTACCCCAACAACACCTTCCAGGCCCACCAGTTTTACTACGAAGACAACCACTGCACCAAACCCACCTACACGCTGGTCATCAGCGGCCGTCTCCGCCTGCGCCACGCCTCCTGGATACTCCGGGGCGGCACCGAGGCAGAGTACCAACTCCACCAGGTCCAGACCGTGCCTCACACCGCCGCTAAGGCCAAAGAGCTGAGCGAGCGGCTCGGCCGCAGCTGCAGGGGGGCAACAAGGGGGTCCTGGGAGCCCGGCGTGATGTACGAGCTGTGGAACGAAGAGGGAGGCTTCGACTGCTCCAAAGAGTTGAACTTCACCATGCACGAGCTGCAGCTGCTGCGGGTGGAGAAGCAGTACCTGCATCACAACTTGGATCACCTGGTGGAGGAGCTGTTTCTGGGAGACATCCACACTGAGCCGTCGCAGAGGCTCTACTACAAACCGTCCAGCTACCAGATCCCCCTGCAGAACGCCAAGGTTGGTTCTTTTAAAAACAAACAAAAAAGGGTGACTTGTTCTGTTTTTGAGTCTTTATTTGGATATCTTTTAAACAAATACTGACCCATAACCAGTAGCCATGCTGACCCTTTAAACTGGGCATGGAACCTTCATAAAGAAAACTGTCATTATGATGTTGCAGAATATGTGTAGTCTGTGAAAAGATTGACCTCTTCCATCTCTTAGCGCTGTCAATCAAGCTCAAGTACGACAATCACGTTATCATTCTCATGCTGCTTAATGTGCTAATGGCACAGAAACAACTTGCTGTTCCAGGAAAACTTTTTTTCTACCATCAACAATGATGCTATTTATTAATAACTGAAGTAACTGTCTTGAATGTTAGCTCAAGCTAACCAGCATGCAGGGTAATTAGCTAAAGCTAACTGGGTGAATGATAACTAGCTTTCAATCCATGTTGGTTTGCATTGAAGCTAGCGGAGTTGAAAACTAGTTAGCATTGACCCTAGTTAGCTTCAGTACAAACCAGTTGTGAAGCTAACGAGTATTAAAGCTATGAAGCTAACTTGAATTTACTCTTCGCTAAAAGACTAAAATCATGGATGCTCATTTTTTATCATTGTAGATAAACAAAAATATTGTTTATTTATAGACAAATAATGACACTGTTTATCCATAAACTAGCATTGAAGCTAGCATTCAAGTTAGCTTAAATGATAGCCAGGACTCACATTAACTTGAATTCAGTCTTCGCTAAACGTTAGCTTGAATGACCATGCTAACCTAACATAGGCAAACATATGGAAAGGGGGAGGGTGTGAGCTGCGCCTACACAAGATGATGGACAGCACTAAAGCCAACTCTGATTGGTTGTTGCTAGTTAGTAATGGGAGAAGGGAGAGGAGTCCAATCTTTTCATAAATGTGATTTCATACTAAACTGTCATGACAGTTTCAACAAATAAGTAAAAAACATTTTTTTCTATAAAAGTTACACACTGTATCTTTAGGGATTGAAATGAAAGTGTTTATAAACTTATTTGTTGAATATCTTCAATATGTAGTTCAAATAAATGGAGGAAGGCTTTCCCTGGTGTCATTAGATGTCAGAAGAATCTCACTTTTCACCACCAAATGCAAAGGAATTGCAGCAACTCTGTATGTCAGTGTGTGTTAATATAAACTAAGCAGAAACTGTGTTGATTTCATCTCAAATCCAAAACTTCTGCTGTGCTGACAGGATGTAATTTCTCTGTTTACGTTGCTGAACAGGAGTTTCCCTGCTGGCTACAAACTCCTGACTTATGTTTTCACTGTCACAGTCCGCTAAGATTACAATGAAATCCTGCTGGAGTCGGCTATCTAAATAAATACCCCTTTCCACCGGAATAATGGGCTTCGGTGTTGCGTGGAGGGATCACACGGTCTCCCCTGTTGAGCCGAAAAGACCACAGCTGTACTGACACCCCCTTTGACCTGAAGAGGCGCAGTGTGAAGCCGGGGAATATCTCTGGAAACAATTAAAAATGCCGCATTCATAGAAACTGGAGTCGCCTTAAATCCTCCAGAAAACTGGGTCTGGTTTCAGGCTCGAGACAAAGAGTATTTCCAAACTTGGTTTCGTCATGAACCTCGAAGTGAAAGGAGCACCAATATGTAAAATTGGCGTTTTTTGAGATTTTCATCATATTATAATGTCATCCACTCATCAAAAACACAGCTGGAGTGCTGAGAAATCCTTTAGTCTCCATATTTTATATCTTATAAAGCTGTCGAAAACGTCTGGGTGGACTAAGCTCCGCCTCCAAGGCACAACTCCTCCCATGATCTACCAAACAGAGCAGCCCTCCCTCCTTCAGCTCCTTCAGACTAGCCAGCAGCAATTAGCAAACCCCTGGTGGAATATCTGCTAAGCTCATTATATGAGCTACTTCTTCTTGAAATGTTGATTTAAAAAAAAAAACATTGTTAGAGCGTTAATAAAGGAGTAAAGTAAAATCTTTTAAGTCATATTTTATATATAATTTTTTTAAAGACTTAAAGTTACATAATTATTTTTAGACCTCTCATAAATTAATTAATCTTTTTTAAACTTTTAAAGGTTTTTCTCTTTTCTCTGTTTCTACCAAAAACTGTATGGTGAAAGTTTTCAATTCAGTGTTTTGGTCTCAAGAGACTTTATGATTAGTTTTATTTGTAGTTTCTGTTAGAGTTAAAGTTTATTCATCTTTGAGAATGTGTTCTTGCATTATTCTATTACCATTATATTTATTGAAAATGGTTTCAAATAACAATATTATTGTTTATTGCAATAAAGTCTTTGAAAATTTATCATCTAGCAAACATTGTTATAGTGACAAGCCTGGTTACTTAACTGTAAAGTAACACTATGTGCCTTGAAGACACATTTTACTGCCTCTTTTAAAAAAAGAGTGATAAATGGAGTTAGATTTATCTCTGCACAGACGACGTTAAGCTAACATTTTAATTCGCCAACAAACATATCTGGATATGCTTTCCAGTTCTTTTTTTAAACTCAAAATGCATGAACTAATCCGTCTTTTCTTAAAATCCTATTAATATTTATTTATATAAAGAAAGTATTGCTTAATCATGGGAACAAACAGTAAATTTGTTTCTAATTGTCTTGTTTCTTTGTGATTAAAAAGGCTCTGCTGCTCGGCTAACCCACCTCTTTAAGCTGCAACATTTTTCATTTTTACTCAGGGGCTTTTAGTGACTATCCAATCCATTAATTTTAAGCTGCTGTACCCAGAACTGGTTCCAGCCCAGAGCCCTTACTGGTGCCAGCATGTTCATTTGTGGTTACTGGGTGGATCTCGGCGGTGATGCAAGAGAGAAATTTGTTTCTTTCATTTTCTCTCGCCTGGCTGCAGCGTTACATCACCGAGGGAGACGAACGACGGCTTTTAATCATCTATTCTGGGACGCAACCGCTACTTTTATCTTGTCGCTTACATCCAGAAATTTCACTGGAAATCATTTATATTTTAAAAAATACTGTTTCTAAGTGTCTGTGGGAGTTTATTTAAATGAAATTAGGGTTAAAAATTCCCTTTACTTAATAATTGGTTGTTTTTTTTCAATGTAGTTTTTAATATTTCTGGTTTCTAGTTTATATCTTATAAAGCTCAATTAATAAATCAAATGTTATTATGTTTTAAAATTTTTTTATAATTTTTATATTGTTAATTGCTTTTATTGTCACTATATAGCAGGTAAAGTACATTTTATAAAATGTTATTATCACTATTAAAACAGCATGATCCATAGATATTTCCTTAATTTATTTTATGATAAACTGCAACAGAGAAAACAAGATGGTTTACAGTTGGGGCTGAAACAATTAATTGATTATTGGAATAATCATCAACTATTTAAGGAGCTGATTAATCAACAGGAGGATAAAAATGATTATTTGGTGCAAAAAAATATTCACAATATTCAAAATATATACATTTTTAATTTAAGATAAAAAAAAAAGTTACAACAATAAGTAGGCCTGTCACATTTTACTGGATGATAAATTGTTCCATAGTTCATAAAATTAAAGGTTATTAGTTGAAAATGTTATCAAACCAGCATTATTGATTAAGATATGTTAAATATCCCGGAAATAAATCAACAAGATGACTAAAAACAACAAATAAATTAAAACCATACTCAACCAACACCATAAGTTAAATGGTTTATAAAGTCTCTGTTGACAAAATTGCCCTTCAAAAAGCATTAATCATCAGAATGAAAATTATTTAGCTCATTTTAATTTTGCTTATTACAGGCTCATTTATGATAAATTAACTCAGTTAAAATCAGTTTCAGTGTTTTTTATCTTCTTGCATTTTTGGGCTGTAAAACTGGACATTTTTAAATTGTTTCCAGAAGTGGAAGCTTTAAAACTATATTCTTGTTAAATTAAGGTCTTACAGACACAATTAGCTACAAACAATATAGCTAATATCAGTTTCATCACCTCAAGGCCACAGGTTTCAAACAAATTGGAAGTTAAAAAAAAAAGTAATTAAGCAAATAAATGAAAAAACATTGTTTTAATGTTTTGGTCAAACCACTAATTGCACTCAGAATGTTTTGTTTTGTGCCAGTAGTTATTAAGTTAACTACTTTAACCTCCCACATTATGCAATTCTTGCTTGATTGATGTATTTGATGCTGTGTAGTTTCCATAAACTTCTGTTTTTGTTTTAGTTTACATGATGAGAAAAATCACAAACGTTCAAGTTCAAATATAAATTCAAGAAAAATCTCAATTTGTTTCATTTTTTTTAAAATAAAGATGCAACAAAACAGAAACGTTTGACCAGTAGTAACACAGTTATTGTTGACAATAGCTCCACCTACTGTTTCAGATAGAGAACAGACTCAGTATTTACTGATTTTCATAGGTAACATTTTAAAAATACTGCTCTTGAAAAACATTCCCATTTGTTAAAATGTTTCTTTCGGACACCTGTGACATAAAGAAGTGTCATTTGTTCCACTAACGGTCCACCCAACTAGAAATTGCCTCGGGAATCACACACAAGAAAAGCCGTATATATTAAGGCCGATATCTGCATTCATATTAATAAACATGAGCTTCAATAATGTTTAAAAACTTTACACAGGTATCTCCAGCTTTTCTTTTTAAGCCACTTAACCGGAATAGTTTGGTAAGCTAGCCAGCTTACCAGCTACCTAGCTGTAGCGTCTCACTTTGCTCTGACGTCACGGCAAATAAACGGTCGTTTACATGCAGTACCTGGTCGAACACTAGAGGGCACCCGCGGACCACCAGTTAGAAGGGTGGGAAATAAAATACTGGTTTAGAAAACTATTCCCATTTGCAGTACGTTTCTTTAGGACACCAGTCACATAACGAGGTGTGATTTGTTTCGCTAAAATACATTCAATCATATTCATTTTGAGTTATTGGTAATTATTTATTCACCTTTATTGAATATTGGGGGAAAAATTGTGAAAATAACAATCGCAACAGTATGAACAGCTGTGTATATTTTTAAGCATCATTAACCAGAACTTTACAAGGAAATAATTTCCTCTTTCAATGTTATGCTAACAAATAGCGTCATTCCTTTTCACATTTTGCAGTTTTATTGGTCTGTCATTTTCCCATCATGCCTTCTGCTCGGGTTTCGTCCAGATGTTCTCAGTGGAAGAATAAACTTGGAACCAACAAAGAAGAATCCTTACAAAAGCAAAAGAAAACAAACCGACTCATTTGAAACTGTGTCACTGTGCCTGTAACGTTTTTATTTGCAATCTGGAAAACAAAAATCTTGTCCAAGTTCCTCCCAGCTGGATTTAACACTTCACTGAATTATTTTATTTAGTAATAAAAAATATTTCCACCAAAACTTCAGGGAAATGCAGCCACAAACATCCAGTCTTATTCTTTATCATCTGCTGACAGGATTACAATGCAACCAGAACAAATGTTTGTTTTTGTTTTTTGATTTCATGCAGGTCTGCATCAACTCTTGCTCACATGAACATCTATGATGGTGGTACAACCATTAATAAAAAATACAAATTTCCAGAACATTTTAATCCCAGTGTTCTCATTAACCTCTCACTCCGAGGCGTTTATGGAGCTGCACTGGGAATATCTCATCTGCAGATTTCTCTCCTCCTTTTTCCTTCTTTTCATTTGTTCTTCCTGAAGGCCGTTGCAGACAGGTTGTCTGGGAAAACAGTGACCGAGTTTAGGAGGTTGGGTATTAAACCTTACCCACCCTGCAATGACGGAGTCAAACCAGCCTCATGGGAGTTCGGTCTTTGGAAGACATTTTCTTGAGTAGCGCTTGAAAGCTTCCAGTTGTTCTGCAGTTGGAAAGCCGCAGCTGTCCGGTCTGTGCAGCAGACATGATTTTATCTGAACAGTATGTTCGTGTTGATGCTGTTGCAACACGGCGACCTTCAGTTTCACTCGAGGTGTTGAGGCTTCCTCCGTTTCATCCAGACATCTGGACAGGATGCGATCACGCCGAGGCGAAGCTGGATCTTTATCTGAGTTTTCTTCTTTCAACTCTTGCATGCTGTGATGGATTTATTTATCCCAACATATTTGGATGCAAGTTTTTTTCCCATCATGTTGCAGGATTTTTTTCTGTTATGCTCCCCAACTTTCTGACGTCACATTCAGTGATGCCATACTAGGACAAGATTAGAGAAAAAGAATATATTTCCATCCCAAAACTCAGAAATTTCATATAAAAATTAAGAAATTTCTGAACTCCAAAAGTCAAAGGTTTGCTAGAAAAATCGCAGAAATATGAAAAATGATCTTAGAAATTTTTGAGGAAAAAATCAAATAAATTTCTGAGTATAAAAAGTCAAAAATTTGCTTGAAAAATCTCCCAAATTTTGAGAATAATCTCAGAATTTTTCTAAAAATAAAATACACACAAAAAAATAAATTTCTAAACTACAAAGTCAAATAATTTCTGGAAAAAACAAGGACATTTTGAGATTAATCAAAGATATTTATCAGAAACCATTTCTGAGCTTAAAAAGTCAAAAACTTACACAAAAATACCTGAAAATTTCAAAATAATCACATAAAATTTCTAGAACAGCAACATTTATGAACTTTAAAGTAAAAAAATTGCTTGATAACCCTCTAAATTTTTGAGAATAATCTTAGAAATTTTCTAGAAAAGTCAAGTAAATTCCCATGATTGAAAAGTAAAACATTTGCTAGAAAAAAAAAATCAGAAAATTTCAGGTTACTTTCAGAAATTTTTAGATGAAAACAAGTTGCATTTGAAAAGTCAAAAAAACATGCTATTACAAACTCAGAAAATGTTAAATTAATCTCTGAACTTTTCTAGAAAAAATAAATAAATTTATGGAGTCCAAAAACTCTGAAATTAATCGCTGAAATTTTCTAAAAAAAAAGAAAAAGTAATGTCTGGTCTCCAAAAGTCAGAAACTTGCTAGAAAAATCTCATAATTTTTTAGCATAATCTTAGAAAATTTCTAGAGAAAACGAACATATTTTGTTTGATAGTCAAAAACAAACCAGACTTATCAAAAACTTGCCATAAAAACTCAGAAACGTTTTGATTGGTTTCAGAAATTTTCTAGAACAAAAAAGCAAGTAAATTTCTGAGTTTGAAAAGATGAAAATTTGCTTGATTTGCTAAAAAAAATACATTTGTGAGTTTGAAAAGTTGAAAATTTTTTTGAAAAGACTTAGATCAGTCTTAAAAAATGTTGATTTTGCATGAATTTCTACGTTTGCAAAATTGCTAAAAACTGGAGTACTGATTGTAAGTTGGCAAACAGTAAAACCTGCTTTGATTTGATTGATAAATTAATCTATAAAGCACATAATGGTTATCTTATTTATGCGACCTTCTGGAGAGGAGAGGGCGTCGCCAGCTGTTGGTTAGCTTTAGATTTGATTTTAAGGTTTTATTTTTTTTTTTTTGGCACCTTCCTACTTCTGATCTTTTCAATCTGCTGAGGTCTGTTGAGTAAATGCTCTTATCTGTCTCAAGGCCCAGATTAAAGCGCAGATGAGATCAGGAACAAATTGCACCTTTACATCTGGACTTTCACAACAGTAGACACTTTTAAAACACATTTCTGTTCCTTGGAAAGTCCTGGTCTGAGTCAAAGCCTGGATCTTGAGCTCATCCAGATGAGAAACGGGTTGGACATAGAAGAAACCTCTCAAACATGTCGGAGTCGAAAGTGAAGCGCGTGTCAAATTATTCCCGGGCCGAAGCCAGAGACCGCCAGAAGGTTTGAACAAGCAAATCCCTGGAGCTATTTCAGCCAGAGGTGTTTTAGGAAACTGATTGATTTGCAAAAACACCATAAATACAAAAATAAAGCTGACAAATGTGCTGCCTTGGATGAACTAATATGAGAATAGTGAGAAGAGAACAAAAAAAAGGAAAACTTCTCACACTTTGTTCAAGGTTAGGGTGAATAAAGGGGAGCGTGGGGAACATCTTTTTGCATTAGTTTGGTTCATTTGATAGTGCAGTGTGAAAGAAAACCACACCAGGTGAAAACGTAACGTGTTGCAATTTTGGTTCCCAACTGAACTAGATTGATTTGGCTGAAGTGAATGCTGGTGTGGTCTGAATGCATATGTGAATGTAACACAGTTGAGAAGGGTACAATATGTTTTAGGTAGATGGGCCAATAGGTTCGGCTGTCGGAGCACGATGGGTGTTTAAATGACACACATACACAGTTGAGTGAATTTAAAAAACAATTAGCTTTAGTAACATGAATCATAAACTCACAAGTGGACAAGACATACAATTAAGAAAATAAAATTACACACAATAAAATACATGAAATAAAACAACAATACTTGGCCAAGTGCTAAATATCAAATTTAAATCTATTGGGTGCACCCTGGTAGTTTGCGCTCTAATCTCTTTTAGATGACAAATGAATCAAATTAAATCCTGGTTCAGGTCTCACTCAACATGGGAGGAAATCCAGATCTTTCTAAGTCCAGGTGGGAAGGCTCGCCATCAAAGTCAGTAGGGGAATCCACTCCAGGAACAATCCAGGAGAAGAGAAGAAAAAGCAAAAAAAAACAAAAACAACACAACAAAAAAAAAAAAACCTGATCTGTCAACAGACAAGACCAGCAGAAACATAGAATTATTATTAAACCATTCTAGCTTATTATGTTTCATAACTGTTCGAAAAATCCTTTTCCAAGAACAATAATAAAACATTACATTTTACACAAACTCAGCAAAGGTTCACGTTTTAATAACTAAGTAGGTCAAATAAAGATCATTATTTGACAACAAGATAAAAGAATAAAAACCAATTGAAAGGTACAAAATATGCTCAGTGCAGCACGTTCAAAACAACTAGACAGGGACTCTCATTCCAGACACGGAGGGCACTAGACAGTGTAAAATGCATATTTTTTAAGTTTTAACTTAAAGAAAATGAATTAAGTAAAATAAAAATACATTATTATATAGGCTTTACCTTCAGTTGAACTGAAAACAACTGCCAATCAACTGCCAGAAAGTGCAACAGTTCCAACTGATCTTAGTGGTTCTAACAGCAGAAAAACTGAAGTTCAGTTTTCTGAAACTTACCACTCTTTCTAACTTATAAGTTGGATTTAAACAATAACTATTTACAAAAAAAATTCCTTCAAAGTCAATAAATGATATTAGAAAGAAACCAAAAGACTCTCACTCTGGCTCAGCTGTCTGCTCAGGATCGGATCTCCCGCTCACAATCAATGCTGCCAACACGGGAAAGAAGGTGGAGCCTCTGTGGCATTCCGCTCTCTGATTGGTCTAAACATTCATGGGAATCAAACTTCCCATTGGCCAGGCAGACTACCCCGCCTACCCAATCTCTAGTTCCCAAAAGGCTATCCCCACTTTATGTGGGTTACAACAACACCTAGCAGACCAGAGACCGCTCAATAGGAAACAGATTACAGTGCAAGGCATTCTGGGTAAATACAATCACAACAACACAGTAGTGCTGGAAATGGCTTGTAGACTTTTACCAAAACAATCACTAAAATCTGACGTTAATCCATTTTAGCAAAGAAGGAAGTTGTGCTCAATGTCTTCAGAGATTTTCATGACATTTCCTTTAGGAGTTATTGTTGCAGTGCCCCAACAGGCGAGGAGGGGAACAGTTTTTTAATCAGTTTGGTTTGTTTGACACAGTGCAACCACGCCGGCTGAAAGTGAACCAAGTCTATTTTAAAGTTATTGTATTTATACCTTTTTACCAGAACAACATTTTTAATAGTCAATGCATGTATTTAATATTAAAGTTTAAAAAGTAAATGTGAGGTATACATTTTTTATTTGCCAGTAACGTAACTTGCCTCCATGTTGGATCACAATGACTGTCTTCCATCCTGACTAACTGAGCCCATCATGCCTTGGTTTCCAGAACCACGACCATGGCTGCATCGTCTGTCGGATCATCTATCGCTCGGACGAGTTCCATCCGCCCATCCTGCCGCCGCGGGCCGACCTCACCGTGGGCCTGTACGGCCAGTGGGTCAGCCAGCGCTGCGAAGTGCGGCCCGAGGTCCTCTTCCTCACCCGCCACTTCATCTTCCACGACAGCAACCACACCTGGGAGGGACACTACTACCACTACTCCGACCCCACCTGCAAACACCCCACCTTCAACATCTACGCCCAGGGCCGCTACAGCCGAGGCCTGGCCTCCACCCGCGTCATGGGAGGGACCGACTTTGTCTTCAAAGGTTTGCAAACTTCTCTTCTTACTTTAGTTTGTAATTAAGAGACGAAAAGCGTTCGACTGGTTGGTGTCGTATTTCCCAACCAAAATCTCTCACAAGACGCATCTGGAGTAAAGATGCTCCTCTGTTAGCTAACAGTTGTTTCAATTACTGATTAATCACGATTAATCATTCCAGCCATACTCATATATATTGTTAAAAAGTTATCTGCGTCATTTTTGAGTTTGACTATTTTGTTATTACAGAAAAAGGTTCGTTTTGAGTTTGTAAAAACTGGCAGTTTATTGATTTATTATTAGATTATTTCAGCAAATGATTGATCACAATTAATCTAATTAATCGTTTCCGTTGTATTTGTATATATTGCAGAAAAGTTTATTCAAAATTAGTCTTGTCTTAATCTAGTTTACTAAACTATCTGCACTAGAAACTAAACAAAACTATTTTGCCAGATTTAGTTTTTTTTTCAGTGAGATGGCACAACTTTCATGTAACAAAAATTACAAATAAACTAATAAATAAAGGTTGCATTTTTCCAAATACTTCAGTTTTAGCCTTGATAAACTCAACAGAGCTGATTCCTCCCGTCTCCGTCCTCCAGTGAACCACATGAGAGTGACGCCCATGGATGTGGCCACCACCTCCCTCCTCAACGTCTTCAACGGCGACGAGTGCGGCGTTCAGGGCTCGTGGCAGGTCGGGGTGGAGCAGGACGTCACCGTCACCAACGGCTGCGTGGCGCTCGGCATCCGGCTGCCCCACACGGAGTACGAGCTCTTCCGCATGGAGCAGGACGCCCACGGCCGCTACCTGCTCTACAACGGCCAGCGCCCCAGCGACGGCACCAGCCCGGACCGCCCCGAGAGGAGAGCCAGCTCCTACCAGATGCCCCTGGTACAGTGCTCGTCCAGCAGCCAGCGGTCCGACCGCGGCCGGGGGGACGATGACGCCGAGCAGACTCGGCTGCGCCACAACGGCGGCTCGGGGCGGCACGCCGGCCGCAGCGGATGCGTCGCCGTACTACTGGTCACGGCTCTGATGCGGCTTTGTCAGAGTTAGAGACGGCAGCAGAGGCGTTTTCTTTCTACACAAACAACAACAACTCATGTACTTAGCAGGGACGCATTATGCAAAATTCTAATTTTTGCAGATTTTTGTACTTCAGTTTGGGCCTAAACGCCTTTTAAAAACAACCCAAAGCGGCAAAAAACAAAAACCCAACCAGACTTTTTTTTGACAATAAGTTTATGCTTTTTGATTTCTGGAAAATGAGCCGTTTCAAAAACCTCCGGAAATCAACAGACCCTTTACCTAGCAACACCAGCGGAGTTCCAACCCGTTTGATCAGCTGGTTTTACTGTTGGGCAATGGTTTTACTGGTTTTACTGTTGGGCAATGGTTTTACTGGTTTTACTGTTGGCAACGGTTCCTGGACAAGACTTTTGTTGTTGACACACTGTCCAGAAACCACTTGCTGCATTCCTGTTGGTTGTGCAGGAGGCTCTACTAATGCTTTTCAAAGATCTAATGTATAATTGAGCATAAGTTTGTAGCCACTCTGACGTGTGACTGCAAAGGTTCAGTTGGGTTTGTCGCCAGTAGCTGCTTCTTGAATTTATAGTGACAAGAGGCCCTAAAGCAGCTCATAATAGAATGATTTTGTGCAGAAAAATGTAATTGACATGTTTTGACTAGGCCACAGACTTATTCTAACCTGTTCAAGGAAACATAATAAATGTTTGTTTGGATCTAGAGGGTGAGAACTGACCTCCTCTCCACCAAAGACTTGGCACTGCTGCTCCGCAGGAACTGCACTTTAGAGTGAATCCACGCGACTATGGATCCACAACTAGATTAAAAAATCTCTTTATACCTACAGAACTGAGATTATGTTTGTTTTTTGCATCGTTTTTATCCAGCATACGTCACATTGTCGGTTCTTACAGCAAAAAGAAGAGGCTGATGAGTGGAAACATATTCTAGACAAATCATGTCTTCAGGAGAAAAACTCAATAAATTCTGTTTACTGTAAAAAAAAGAAAAAAAAAGTGAGTCGCAGGATTTTCACAGGTTAATTTTAGATAAGGATATAAAAAGTCCATTTGTTTCAGCAATTTTATTCAAAAAGTAAAACTTATTTTTGGACCATTTCTCAGAAAGTTGGGGTTAGAGTTGCATATAACCAGGATTTTTCAAAATACATATTTCAATTTAAACTTTTACTTATCCAGTAAAGGAGGTGGAAAACTAACTAGTGGTGGTCACGCTTCCGCTAAGCTGCTAACACCAGAGCTAATGTTTGCTAACTCTCTAAACTTCCACTAAATTTATTTTTTCTCTTAGCTTTCACTAAATGAAATTTTCCAGCTAATTTACAAGACTGTTTTATAAACTTTAAGTTGAATAAAGTTTGGAATCTATGTTGAATTTTTTTTTTTTTTTTTTACTGTTAGAAATTTTTCAAATAGTTTCACTTTTACACTTATTTTGAAAGGGGTGTGCAGCAGTTCTGTTTCCTCTCATTTTTTTGTAACTTTATGTTAAACAAGAAAAACATAAAAGATTTAAACATACTTCAGATAAATTCATAACGTTAAAATAAAAATGGTGCTGAAGGTTTCAAGGGCAGATATTTTAATTGAAGTTAGCGCTTTAGCGTTAGCTTCAGCTAAATACTGTATTAGTGTAGCACTTTAGCATTAGAAAAGCTAAGATGTTCTAACAAGACACCCAGGATGATACCTGCTCTCTGATTCAGCTTAGAGGTTTGGTTCAGAATCGTAAGCTGTTTTTTCTACCAGTTTTTCCTTCCACTAAACTTTCCTTTCAAAGCAACAAACCTCTGTACCAAATCAGTAGCAACTTACTTGTAATAACTATTTTTTTACTCCAATGTCAAAGAAAAAACTAATGTGTTTAACTTGATTAAAGACAACTTTACATCAAGTCTTAAATTGGCAAGATTAGTTTTTTGTTCAAGCTTTTTTAAAATGGCTTTTGTTGAAAAACTTTTTTAAAAGTCCTTTAGTTATTAAAAACAGTCAGCAGTCTCACATTGGTTAATAGCCACTACATTTGGTATTTTTATGAGCATTTTGTGTAATTATCAAAATCAGAAATATTTCACAGTGAACCTACAAATATTGAAATTAACTTTTTGAAAGCAATTGCTGAAATAAATGAAGTCGCCTGGATTCACCTGAAAGACGTTTTATTCGCAGACAGCCGGAGATTTTATAAACTCACGAAACGCTGCAAACTTGCCATTCTCATTTATTAAAGAGCTTACTTACACCGTGATCAGTCCAAGTCATTGCTTCTTCCCGAACATGTCGCCGTTTTGCATCCTTGGTCTCAACAGCTTGACCACGAGCTCCGCCATGTTTGAGCCAATAAAACTACAGACGTTCAACGTTTCCTTCCAAAATTATTAGATTTAAGCAATCATAACATGAAGATAATATCATTAAACGGAACCAGAAATTAACGTTTTCTGTTATTTGAGCACAAAGTTATTTAATTAGTTTATTCACATGACAGGAAATGACGTCAAGATTGTTCCAGGATATGATGTTCTGCCAAGTGGAACGTTTGAATTTCTTGTCGGGTAAGCAGGAATATTGGATTACAGTATTAATGGTTTTGTTTTGATCATTTAACGAAAACTGTAAACAAAAAATTGTTTTGGTCACAAAGTTAGACATTTTAAACATTGCTTCATGTGGTTCTTTGTTTACTAGAAAGGAAAAATAAATCACCAAAAGAACTCAAAAGGTTTATGGAAAAACATGGAAATTTTGGAGTTCAAAAATTAGAAATTCTGAGAAATATTCCAAAGGAAAGAAAGTTTCAAAGGTCACAAATTTGAATTAGGTTTTTCCAGACATTTTCCAAGTTTCAGTAGTCAAACATTTGTTACTTCTGGATCTGATATTTCCAAGATTTCTTTTTCTCAGATTTCTAAGATTAATCTCAAACCTTTTTTTATCTGCAAATTTTTTGACTTTCAAAACTCAGAAATATGTTTCTTCAACCAAATTTAAACTTGCAAATTTTCAACCGTTGAAACATTATTTTTTTAAAACTTTTCAAGCTCAGAAATGTCCAAAATGTGATCACTTTACGACAAAAAACAGAAACATTTTAAAAAGCTCCATTACCATCTTAATTCATTGAACAAAACTTCATAAGAAAATCCTTTACGCTTTCAAGTTTAGTTCCTAAAATAAACAAAATACAGTTCAGAGTTTTCACAGGCAGTTCTATTTGACTGTGATTTATGAGCATGGAAACACTGCCAGCATTTTCTACGCCGGTCATTTTGACCCCAACAGTCTTGAGTTTAATATTCAGTTCTGCTGCCAAGAGGGAAAAGGGAAAAGGCCAACATTTCGTTTCCCACGATCTCGTGTCTGTGGAATCACCTCGACTTCACGCTTTGATAAAACGATTCAACGAGAGCTAATTTCAGCTCTTTATTTGGCTGAATTTACCATAACAGACTCCATCACGCAGAACGTCATAATGAGCTGTAAACATGGAATTGCCTCGGTTGATCTCCACCAGATCTGATAGAAAAGACCAGCAGAACCCGAGCTTTGGTTCTGGATTGTTGGGTCACTTTAACATCGTCCCACAGCAGATTAAACCAAACCTTTCAGTTTGTGCTTGAAGTAAATAATGTTTGAATTTCACTTTTTGATAGGCCTTTGTAAAGATACAAAAAACATCACTAATTTGGCTAATTTACTTAGCCTTTCATAAAGAAAAATATAAATATATTACTCATACATCTATAAATGTCAATGTTCTTAAATATCCAAACATTTATTTTCCAAAACCAAATATTTAGGTCTCAGCTAAATTTACCTAGAAGCTAAACTTTGGTTTATGAGCTAAATATTTAGCTCGTAACTACCAAGCTAAATATTTAGCTAGCAACATACATATTTAGTTAGCAAGCTAAATATTTATCTAGTGAGCCAAATATTTCGCTTTCTTGCTAAATATTTAGCTTGTAACAACCAAGCTAAATATTTAGCTATCCATCTACATATTTAGCTAGCAAGCCAAATATTTAACTTCCTTGCTAAATTTTTATCTAGCAACATACATATTTATTTAGCAAGCTAAATATTTAGGTCTGATTTGAAAATTAGACGATACTTTTGGAAAATAAAGATTTAATTTGCGACTAAATGTGGGAACAAAATTTAGTTCTACATAGTTATAAATGTAGAACTAATGTAAAGAAAAGTGTTTATTTTTCAAAGTCACATTTTCAACTTATTTAATTACTGGTTTAGCTGCAGCTAAAAGGTTTTATAACTGCTTAGAAATAAAACAGTGAAAACTGTGATAAGAAATGTCACGTCAATATCTTGGCAGTTTTTCAGATACTTAAAACAAAAACATTTCAGCTGTCGATCCCATGGCAATTTCAGAGACTTCAGAAGTTTTTTTCTTGTAAATAAGTTAAATTGATCTCAAAATCTCCAAATGTTTTGGTGTAAAAGCACAATCGAAGCAATATTCCATCATTTAAGAAAAGTTAAAGAATGTTAGTTTTAAATATGTGTTGATATCTACCTAAACTCTAAACAACTGTAAAGATCCTGGAAGTGACAAAAGCAAAAGATGGCTATGAAAACCACATTTTTTTCAATTTTATTTGGTCAATGATTAATACCATAGGAGATCATTTTAAAAATGGAAACCTTATTTCAGTCAATACTTGCCTCAGAGGGAATAAATGTGAATAATGTTTATTAATAATAATAATATAATAATAATAATTCTGAATTGTGAGGAAAAGGACAGGAAAAATGCACATAACGAGGCACCGATTTCCTCAGCTGGATTTGAACATTCCAACAAAAAAAAGTAGAAATTACAAACAAATTTACTTCAGAGGCAGTCCAGCAATGGAGGTTCTGTCCATGTTTTTGCTTGGAAGGATTTAAAATAACATTTACAAGACGCCTAGCATTTCTTTCAACTCCTATTTTAAAAGCACACAGAGAAAGAGAGAAAAAAGAAAGAAAGAAGGAAAGAAAGGAACAAAAACTGGACTGCTTCTTCCCAATGGTTCCCCGTTTTTCCGTGATCCGTCTTTCCATTGTCCCACCAAATTACCTGCAAACCCATTAATCAAAAACTGAAAAAACAAAAAAGGGATTAATTTTGTTTGTTTTTTTAAGTGAACTCTCTGGGCTCAATAAATGTGCGACATTGTAAAAAGGCGACGCCTTTGGATGAAGCTGTACAGATGCGTTCACTGTAGGCCACACAACCGATGATATGGCAAAGTCAACAGAAAGACTTCTTGCTCTTCCAGGCCTCGTCGTCGTCGTCGTTTGTTTTCTTTTTTTCTTTTTGGGGCCGGAGCAAAGGGATATGGCCGGCATATGCGTTACCAATCTACAAGATGAACTTCCCGAAGAAAAATCCGATGAAGATGGCTGCTATGACGACGAGGAGGGAGGGCAGGAAGGCGGCGCTGGTTTCTCGGCCGACGATGTTGGTTGAGTTTGATGTCATGTGGTCTGGGCGCGGCTGCATCTTTCTGATCCTCAGTCCCTCTTCCTGCAAGAAGCAACAAAACCTCAACCATCAATACGTTAGCAACCGCGATCTGATGCGTCATAAGGCTGTGAATAGAACGAAGGATTTCCGACGCTTCAGGTCGATACCTGATATTTTGCTGGTGACGCGCGTTGGGAAGAGCCGTTTTCCATTGCCTGTCTCTTTGTACAATGGCAGATAAAACTGAGAGAGCGGCACCAAAAGCTTCTGTAATCAGAGGCTCAGGTGTCTTTGCTTTACATTTTTGCGTTAAATTTTTATTGAACAAATAACGGTTTGATGAACGTTGGAGCCTCTTCCCTTTTTTTCCCTCTCCCAGGAGTTACCATCAACAATGGCAGATGAAATATTGAGTGTCATGGTTTTATTTACTGAATAGCATCACAGAGGAGCATCTTTACTATCCGTATGATATCTGCATCTCTTGACAATAACCACAGGCCACTACGTCACGGAGCGGAGTCTCTGATTGGTCAACACGTGTCAAACATTCGAAACGCTTCACATAGACTCTGGATGTAAACCAGACACTCAATTTGCAAACGGTCTGAACCAGCAACCAACCAAACGTCAAAACACACTAATTAGCTTATGCTACAATCTGTTGCAGCATCTAATTACATTGAAGCTGAACACCGTCCCTTTATTAATAGTTTACTACTACTATTACGTCCTTAAAGCTGCAGGGCTTATTTGTTTAAACTGACCAGGTTGTGAAAAAATTTGAGCTCCTATGCCTTCTCATAGCCAATCAGAGCCAGGAGGCGGGTCTTAGCGCTGTCAATCAACATCACAGATTAGCTGTTGAATGTGCTGACAGAGGAGAAACGACTTACAGTCATGACACAGGTCTTTGATCCAGAATGGCATTAAAAGGATTCCCGCTTTTTATTGTAGAAAATTACAAACTTTTCCAGATTGAAGTCTCCAACCTCAGCCGTTTTTAAAAGCATACAGACTTCATTTCCAGCAGCTAGTTCAGTAACATAACAGACACATCCCTGTGACTAACTTTTATCATTCCGCTTCTCAGTGAGCTGTGACTTCATCTTTGCCTTGGTAACAAAGACTAACCTTTGGCTAACCTTTATCAACAGTTTTTAAAGTCTTTTCAACATGTCTGACCTTCAGTTGCCTGTTTTCCTCGCTGAGCTTGTTTATGTCCGACTGCAGCCTCTTGCACCTCTCCTGCAGCTTCTTCACCTCCGGTTCGTCTCCCGCGGCAGCCACAGCCGTCGGCTCGGACTTCAGGGAGTTCATCACCGGGGTCGCTCGCGTCACTTCCACGTCGTTCTGCCCGACAGGGAGGAGGAAAAGCATGACTGAGGAGAAATCCAGCATGGCCGGACTCAACCCGTTAGATCCCACCGATACGCCAGAGAAAGGCGGCTATGTCGGAGTTTATCTTTTTTAATTAAAATCAAAAAAAGAGTAACGATGACAACATGGCAAAGAAATAAAACAGCTCTACTGTGGAGTAGCGCTTAAACAATCCAACTATTTATTGTAAATAAAACCGAAATCTGATTTCTCATGTAAATCGACGACGCATACAAATATGGCTTAAGTAAGCAGAGGTGGAAGAATAAATAAAAACTTTACTGAAGAGTAGCACTATTTCATAACAAAATACTCAATAAATAATAAAAGTACTCAAGTAAAAGTAAAAAGCTGCCTTCCAAGAAATTAAAAAGAATTTGGTAAAAAGTTTAAAATAAATCATTTAATATTTAAAAATTACATATTCAAATCAACCAAAATGTAAATATAAGTGAAAATTTTGGTATTTTAAAGACCAAAATGACAATAATTTATAAAGGTAAAAAATTAAGGCAAAATAATTGTTTCCAAATCAGTTTCTTTCAACAAAAAACTTATAAAACCTTAACAAAAACTGCAGGTTTGTGTCTGGAGAATCTTTGGTAAAAAAAAATGTGTATTTTTCATTCACTGTGTAAACAGTCTAAAAATTTTACTCAAGAGTGGAAATACTGTATAATAAAATCACTCAAATAAAAGAAAAAAGCACGACGTAGTAAAAGTAAAAGTAATTTTTTTCCAGAATGTTTCTAATCTAAATATAGTTCAGTAAATGTAACTAGTTACTACCAAACTCTGGCAACAATTAATCAATCAATTGGATGAAAATATTTGGAATATTCTACAGATTTTTAATTTAACAACCCACACAATATTTGAAATGCAATAAAAATTGCAAATAAACAAAATCATTCTTTTTTAGAGAAACAAAATAAATATTTTATTGTCTAAAATGCAACAACATAACATTCCTTTAGTGAATGGGTTAGGGTTAGACAAAAGTGCGTCACGTTTTGGCCAAAATATATTTACGGACTACACTTTTTATCTTAAATGCAAACTTTTAATAAATTTTTTACATGTCTCTTAATTATTGCTCTGCATTTGCTTTTTAAACACTATTTTAATCTGCATAGTCCAGTTAATGGTTAATTGATTACAAAATTAGTCGACACGTCAATTATTGATTAATCACGATTACCGTATTTTCAGGACTATAAATCGCTCCGGAGTATAAATCACATTTTTGGGGGAAATTTATTTGATAAAATCCAACACCAAGAACAGACATGTCATCTTGAAAGGCAATTTAAAATAAAAATAGAATAGAAGCAACAACAGTCTGAATAATTGTACGATATGCAAATGTTACATGACACAATAACAACAACGAAATGAGAATGTGCCTGGTATGTTAACATAACATATTGAGAGTTATTCAGAGAACTATAGCATAAATAACATGCTAACAAGTTTACCAAACCATCCTCGTCACCCCAAATCATTAAATCGAATGAAATCTTCATCCTCAGTCTCGCTTGTAAACAACTCCTCTAACTCCGAGGGTAGCTTCTGCCCCACACGTTATCAACACAGGCGTAGAGCGCCCTCTTAGGGTTTAGTATGAAAATAACATGTGACATGATATAATAATGTGCTAATAATTTCACACACAAGTCACTTCGGAGTACAAGTCGCACCCCTGGCCAAACTATGAAAAAAACTGCGACTTATAGTCCGGAAAATACGGTAATTGTTTTAGCAGCTTGCAAAAATATTCATATTCATTGAACCTCTTCACATTCTGAGATATTGCAATATTAGTTTAGTTTATTAGGATTTATTACAACAGTAATACAAATATGTTTTGACTCTGATCCAGTTGTCAAATATTAAATGACTCAAGAATATAAAAACATTCAAAAACTACTTGTACTTTTCATATATATCCAATATTTGATCATTTTTAAGAACAAAATAAAAAGCAAAACCATTCTCTCTTTCTCTGTGTGAAAAACTTCTAGTAAAACACGTCCAGTAGTTTTACTAGATATAAAAGTGAAAGTATGCATGCGACATTAGACACACCTTTATGCGTTTCTGTTGGTCAGAAAAATATGAATGAAAACAAAAATTCTCAACCAAAAAATCTCTCACCACTTCGTTTTCAGAAGGCAACTCGAAGACGCATCTCAGCTTGGAATCCATGAGATCTTCAGGTTTTGCATCTTTCCACTGACGGATCAGAAACACGTCATTCGTTAAGTCAAACTGCATCCAGACAGGTTTATTTTTTCTTCCATCCACACACAAACAAATAATCTCAAACCTTGAAACCCAATAAAAACTCACAACATGCATCTTTTTATCTGCTAAACTGATGCAGCATTGACTTTACTTTCCTAAATATGTAAACAGTAATGGCTCATATTTTCAAAGAAAGAATAAAAGCTTGTTTAGTTGTGTTTCCAAGCGTCTGCTGCCCCCTGGTGGACAAATGAGCCACACATCTAAACAAAAAAAATGATCAAATCTAGAATTTAACCAAGAAACTACTAAAAAAATAGCTTCTCTTTCAGCCAGAAAAACTATTTCTCTGTTTATTACCAAGTATGATAAGCCATTTAATTCAAAATTAAATACTATTATTAAATACTCCACCAAATAAATAATATTCCCATTAAATAAAACCAAATTAATGGGTTTTTTTTTATTACTTTGTGATGGTTTTATTCATTTTTTATTTAGTTCTGCATGATTAACAGTAAAGTCTTAATAAAACTGGAATTAACAATATTTAAAAAAGAAACGAATGCTGCCAGTTTTTGGGGGGCAGATTTTTGAATGTTTGATATTTTAGCAATTTCTTTCACTAACTTTGAGACACGTTTTGTTACATGTGTTCAATAAATTTAGGGAAAAAAGTCGCTCCAACCTAGGAAATTCTGGCCCTTCATTTGTAAACAAGAAATACAGAACCTGAAATAAAAACACAGAAAACAAAAGTGTTCAAAATAAATAGATTTACAAAATAAAACACAAGTAGCCCACCCCCATTCAATATGTCTTTACATTTTATTTTATTTCATGGGAACATTTAAGTATTTGATGGAGCATTTATTTATTATTGATTAATATTAGTATTTATTTTGATTATTTTGAATTAATTAACTCATTAAAAATTGATGTAAGCCAGACTTAATATGTTAAATATAAGAAAAGGAGAAAATCTGTTCAGAAGGATCATAAATTAAATTTTAACAACAATAAACAGCAAAAATTTGTTCAAAAGTCAAAGGTTAAAACTTTAAATTCCAGATCTGATCCAATAATCAGTATTATTATTTTATACTTCAGCACACACTGGAAACACTTCACTGAAAATAAAAAAACGAATAAATACTTACCACGGTGTCATTGTCAGAAACATTTGATGGGATGAAAATCGTCTGAACCATAAATTTGTGTTTACTTTTTTCATTGGGGTCATAGTCAAAGGGTTGTAGCATAACTGTGGAAAAAAAGAGAGATTTGATTGTATAAACGGATAAATAAAAAGAATATTAACTATAAGCTTGAGTGAAAGAAAAACACTGAGCTAATGCTTCAAACTGAGGAACCATCGGAGAAGCTAAAAACAGAAGCTGTCGCTTAATGAGCTCTGGATTGAAATCTTGAATTTAATTTTAAATGCAAAATTCATATAAGTTTTATACAGTTTTAGATTAATTACTACGTTGAATATATTGCTGTTTGAGCACATTACGTTTTAGAATTTGCATACTCCAATTGAGGATTAACTGATTACTAAATTAGTTGACAGTTATTTTACTCATTTTAATTCAATTAATTGTGATTAATCTGTTCAGTACTTCAATAATTTCCTTGTGTTTTGAGATTTTCTCTCATTTAAATTCCTTTCTACTTTCACCACAAGCTTTCCCAGGATGAAAGCAATAAATGATTTCTTGGAAGCTCATCAACTGAGCTTTCTTGAATAACTTTTGGGCTTAAATGCTAAATTAAACTGATATGTTAAGGTATGTTAAGGTTTAAATTGAATCTATACAATATACACTGTATGAATGGAGAGGAATACAAATTTATCCCTTATGCTTTGATAAATTTAAAGACAATTTGTGACGTGTAGTATTCTAGTAGACAAAGTCACAAAGGTCAGGTACAACGTCTGGACTGAACATTAGTAAAATAGAAGTTTTTGGAAGGAAAACACAAAGATCGTTTTTCAATGGCAGGAATATACTTTAGTTTCTTACCAGAGATGTTGACGGCTGCACCCGGGTCGATGACGCCGCTGTTTGGCCGTACGCAGTACCTGCGAGGCGCCGTCGTCTTCACTTTGAAACATACTCGTCTATCAGATGGGTTCTTCAGTTTGAGGTTAGCGGTGACTACATCTGTGAACGGACCTGATACACACAGAACCACACACACAGACAGGTTCCAGTTCTGTATTCAATGCAACACACGCCTGACAAAAACAATCTGCACATACGTTAAATTGCAAAACAAGTATAATGTTCTACGAAGTCGACTGAAAGCAAATCATTCACTTTATTTTAAGATCATAACTGACACAAATAAAGGCCTGCAGTGTTTGGTTTAAAAGGTTCAAAAGAGACTTTAAAAAGATTAACAGAGAAATAGAAAAAAGCAACTCAATTAGACAGACACAATCAGAAGGTCTTATTGAATAGCCGGCTTGTTGAGTTGAAGCTAGACGGCAGCGTCTAGCATTTGAGTTGATTAAATAAATAAAAAGAGAACTAGAAAGCTTGAGACTAAAGACAAAGACATTGTTTATTGCTGGTAATATTAAAGAAGGTGATGCATAAACATCACCTTTTTATGCATTTTAAAAAGTTATAACCACACTCTAATAGACTTATATTTATATATATCGCAATTTACACATGATCAATATCAATAGATTCAGCATTCTGGGAAATGTAGGCAAAGGAAACAGATCAATGACTCACTGCTAACATTGGTGGGTAACATTGGTTACCTAGCAACTCACTCATTCTTTGGTTACCTAGCAACAAGCTGTTGAGTAACTTGCGCAGCAGCAGTTTCAGGTTCACCACTGTGCTTCATAACTACTTAAAAATAAACACCATGGAGTGAAAAGTGGATAAAACAGGAAATGTCACATGCCCAGTTTGGCAATATTTAAAACAAAAAACTAATCAATAATTATTAATGTCTGATATGAAACGCTTAGATTGTGACACATCTAAGCGTTTCATATCCAGCCATGTTGTCCAGCCCTAACTGTGACTTAATACGACAGAACAATATAGTTTTTTTTTAAAATGAAATATGAGGAAAATATAATGGTTTCCTAAACTATTCCACATTTAAATGTAAAATGTGCTACATGTATTTGTATTCAGATCCTCCATGCCTTCATAAATTAAGTTGACGCGAGAAATGCAATGTAATATGTTCGAATGGTGAAAACAAAACACTTTACAGAACAAGACTCAGGTTTCAGTCATACTAACCATGTTTAATCCACTTTAATCTAGCTCTGGTTCGTTTGTCTAGTAAGTCCGGTTCGTTTGGAGAGGTGTGAATGCACAACCGAACCAAAAAAAGCAAACTCTGGTCCTCCTAAAAACCTTTGAGTGAAGTGATCTCTGGCATATGTGAATGCAAACTGACCAGAGACCACTTCAGAAACATGAAGCGAACTTTACCACAGGGCATTCTGGGTAAATGCAAACAAAACAAACTCATGTATCTGCCGTTAGTGGGACTAATGGTTTGTGGTTTACAAAAAATAAAAATAAAAAAATCGTACAATTACCGAAATCTAAAGTTACTTCATTTGTTTTCATTTTGTAAAGTACGTCTTCTTCAGAGGTTTTTGTGTCGCTTTCCTGAGTAGCTACTGGTGCAGCGCCACCAAAGGTGAGGAGGGAAACAGGTTTTTCAGTTAGTTTGGTTAATTTGACACCAAACCAGCTGAAAATGTAACAAATGTTGCAACTTTAGTCCTCAATCAAACAAGACTACAGGACTAACAGGTGTGAAAATGTCTTTGTTTCAACTCTTTTGGAAAATAAATTGCAAACATTTCAAATTTCATGGTTGGTGCAGACATGCCTCAAATAGATGCCAAACTTTTTTTGATTTCACATTTATACAGTATTTTGTGTAAGTAACATATAAAATCTGTCCTGTATACAACTTTTAATCAAGTAGGTTATAGGTTGAGCACAGATTGATAAACAGCGACGACTTCCTGCAGATGAGATCCAACAAATCACCTGAATCAATTACTGTGAGCCCCCTCCCAGACAGATAATTTCATATCGACGTCCCATGATGATATTGGAAACGGGAGTCCTTCCCCCTGTCGGGTCTTTTATCAGGGGATCAGTCGTTACACAACAGATCTCCACCTTGTGACAGCACTGGCTTCAAATTAGAGCCTTAATCAGGGTCAGCACAAGTTCCTTTCATCATCAATGCCATGTCAAAAACACAAGCGGTCGCCAAGTTAGAGGTACAACAAACTCAATCTGGGCCAATTAGCTTGGGAGACTGCACAGAAAGCGTGTCTTATGACAGCATGGTAACTGGGTAAATGAAAAGCTTTTGATTTTACATCCTGAAATATTTTCAAACCAAATCTTGTTTGAAATTGAGAAATAGGGGTTTATGTGGAGAAAGAAGGTTTGGATTCAGCAATGGAAGTTATCTACAGGCAAATTGTGCAGGTTTAGCTTATTCCAAAAATATCCTCAGAGGACTTTAATTTATTATTTACTTCTCAGCCCAGTTTTCAGCGCCAACAAAGGAAACTGAGCCTTCGGGAAGAAGATTAATCTGGGATATTTAAAGTTATGAGCATTCGTCAGTATGTGAGAATCCATATTGTTCTCATTTCACACCTGGTAACATTTTGGCTGCAGAGAACACGATGTTGCTCTTAAATAATTTGGTTAAAAAGAATCAATAAGTTCTATAACAACTTTATTTAATATTCCAGAAGACTTGCCTTTCCAGTTTCGGACAATCTGGAGCTGGAAGCTACAGTAAATAAGTATGTGATGAGAAGAAACTGGAGAAAATGAGACCCAAGTCCAATTTTTTTGCCTAACTTTTCAGATTTTTATAGCAGTCTTTGCGACCCAATTTCAATCTTTTCACCCAAAAACGAAATAAAATTGAGCCACTTCTACATCTGGTACTAAATTCAACACATATCTGTTTTCAAAGCATCTGAATTTTGCATTTCATCAACGTTTATGTCACTAATGTGAGACATGCGTCATAATTCTGTGCCAGAAAAAGCAAGTGGTAAACAATGGATGAAAAATAAACTTATAAAGAAGTCTGTATCACTAAAAGGCACCACATCACAATCCAAAAAAATGTTTATTCCATTATCTTAGAAACAATTAATTCTGTCTCTGACAATCAAATTTAACTACAAACTCACGATTGTTTTAGTAACCGATTATTCTGACAATTAATTGCCACCTCCTGCTGATTTTTCATTTATCTTCTTAAGCCTTTTTATACATTAGAAATTTAATAAAATATGCAAATGAAACAAATGATCTTTTTAAACAAAGCATTTTGATGCCTGAAATACAATAACAAGATGATTAATTAGTCTTTTTTGTTATAAAATTAATAAATTTCGGCTCTAGTACCAAGATCAATGTTAATTTTGGATTAAAATAACTCGCCATGTTGAAAGATTTCATTAATTTTAATCCGTATTATGGAGTACTATAAATAAAATCTTAAAAATACCAAAGTAATCCTATTTAAAGAAACAAATCAATGACAAAGCTATAACTAAATACTCTGTTGTTATGCCAACTCCACATAAAGGAGGAGTGAATGACGCTAAGCGAGATAAGCAGCATTGCATGACTGCCTGACTCCACCCAGTTAAATGCAGCTACACTCATGACTGGGGAATTGTTTCAGACAGGTGCAGCATAAAAAACATTCCTTTAAACTTGAAAAACCTCAAAACAGACAAAACAAAACAGGTTGTTCAGTTCGTCCTCCTAGAGCTCTAGTATGTGCAGCTGCAGCCATCTTTATAAAGAAGAGTAACTTCCTTAAAGTCAATCCATCTTGTTGCGAAGTCATAAATTCAGTCTCAGTGATTGTTGTTTTAATAGGTGAAACATTGTAATGGAAAACTACTGATACCATTCATCAGTTGACAAGTAACTGAACTTTAGCTGTTGGAACGAGGAGAGTCGCTAATTTTATTACGGTCATATGGGAAAGGGCAAGATATTGGTCCAAATTAAGAAAAACAAACAAAGACAAAGAACGTGTTTCATGACCCGAGAACGACAGAGATAATCATCTAGAAGGAAAACATAAAAATAAAAGTAAAAAATTCCGACCTGAAGAGTGTTTCCACTCCAGGAAACTTTTCCAGGAACCAGGACGGGTTTCTGGGTATATTTTAAAACCTCGTTTCCACGGCGTTTGGCAGAGTAAAAACAGATTAATGAGGTGAAAAAGTTACTGCGAACTTCATGAAAGTCATTTCTGATCATTTAAATATTTCCAGTGTTATGCCTCTGCTATAGTGTTGGACATAATTTATAATGAAAAATGACTTAAGATAATAAGCAATAAATCATATGATAAAATTAAATTGAGCTCAATAATATCCAGATGATTGATTTATAATTTTTCCATCTTTCCACCAAAAATTAGATGGTAAAAATCTTCAGTTTGGTGTTTTTGTCTCAAGTAGCCCTTTTTTGAAAGGCTAATTTTGTTTCAGACTTCATAATTCATATTTTTTCTGTTGTTTTGTTTGATTTGGGTATTTAAAGTGTCTTCCAGTTCTAGTAACAAATGCTCATAAGAATTTAAAGTTCATTCAGCTTTCAGAATGTGTTCTTGATTTATTATGCCATTATATTATTTTTAAATAGTCTCAATATTATCGTTTATCGCATTAAATTTTGGAGAAATTTATTGTCTTGCGAAATTTGTCACTTTTGTTACAAGAAAATCCAATTAATGATGTTGAAAAATTGCCATATTGTTAGGATCATTTTTACTATTTTTCTCAATAAATAATCGTTCAATTAAAAATCTGATATTGTGTGCACCTCCATTTATAATTTTTGTTTAAAATATTTGATTCTATGACACTATTTAAATGTCCCCCACTCTTTACACGTGACGTCAGATGGTTCTGAAATTCTGCTAAGCTATCGCTACAAGTCTGAAGTAGTCATCTGTGTGGAAGTAGAGACTTTAGGTGACAGATGGGAGCAGAATCGTATCGGATTAACATCCATTTCTATGGAGGCTTTCCTGAACATGCGTCTGTATCTTTGGAAGTTAAGTCATCAACGAAACACTTGTCCCTTCCAGCAGCGTTCACATGGTAAAACCAGCTGACCAA